AATAAGTTTGAAGTCAGCATATGTTAATTGCAAAATAGCAACAAAATTAGCATTTTGGGAGTATGTATGGCAACACACTCACACACACACACACACATACACACATCATCATCATCATCATCATCATCATCATCATCATCTCGTTTCCCCACCACTTTCCAGCTATGGACTTGGACAAATTTCATGGCCTTCTCAGGCCTGAGTTTCTTCACCTGTAGTTACTACAGTCTCAAAGGATCCTGAAAGTAAATGAAATAAAATACCTGGCAAGGCAGGTGGTAGGAAGTATATGTTGGTACTTATGTGTTAGTTTGTTCTTCCCTTTCTTCTTCCTTGGTGAAATCCTATTAGTCATGGTATGTTAACCAATTAATCCTCCAGACCAAGAAGAGGCAAACTAACTGATGAATGTGTCGACTTCTGCAGGACAGAGCCCCTGTCTTAGTTCAACCCTGATCCTTAATACTTCCACATTATTGATACTCACGAGTGTCTGTGGAAAGAATGCATGAGTGGACAGAAGGACAGAGGGATGGACAGGAAGACCAAGGGGAAAGAGAAACTGAAAGAATATGAATAGTTTGTCTCCAAAGAGTATCCAACGCAAAAGATTCTATAATTCGATACGTCATTTTAATAAAGTCTGTCATTTATGAGTTAGATTATCTGCACATATCACATAAGAAAAGTAGAGCCAGGTGAAGTGATTTAATGATTTTTTTCAAAGGCTTCCCTAGTAAATGGATATATTCACAAATGAATCCAACTATCCCCGATGACATATTGCTTGGTCCCAATCACTTGTGACATGTGTACCAAGTAATATATAATTGATAATAGTTTAATAAGGTATAAACATTTGTAAATTATATAGTTCATGTTACAAGTTTAACTTTATCTATGTATTTTAAATATTGTGATGCTTAAAGGAAAAAGAAAGGGGCAGAGTTTCAGCTAGTATTAATAATATTATTTAGTCTTACTTATGCCCATGAGAGTTGAGTTATAATTGACAATATAGCCCATTACGTTTTCTTACAGATAAGAGGTAATGAAGTATTAGTCTCAAAAATAACAATGTCCCTCTACAAAACCTAAATATGCATAATAGCTCAGATAGCTTGGGGTTGGTATGTACAGACAACTGATTTCTTTTTTAAAAATTTATTTTTATTGGAGTAAAAT